AATACATCCCAAGTATTCTTTACTAATGGTATAATTTTAGTGAAATAACTCTAAAACGATTTCTGACCGAACGTAAGTTAATGGCAGTGTATCCAACTGTGACTGTAGTTAGTAAAAGCCTGGTATCACATGGGCTCTCTATTGATCATGGGTGTGTATTCTGTCTAGGGTTATGGAGATTTTTGATATACTTCATTATAATCCTGGGTAACTTTAAGGGGGGTGTTTAAACAAGGAGAGAGAGATCGTTGTCCATTTTGCTCTAAGAAGAAACATCTGAAGTTATGTTTTATTTGTGGAGTTATGAGTAATAAAGGAGCAGTTCTCTTTCATTGTCACGGTTAAGACTGCACAGTGACTGGTTACTGACCACATTTGGAATAGTCTTTCCAAAAAAGCACCTGGTGCATTTTAAGAAATCCCATACACACTAAATGGCCAGAGGTATGTTTTGATCAACAACAAATGGAGATGGGTTAGGGAAAAATACTGGTTCTGTGAAAATATTCCCTTTTTCCATTTCTGGCATTCCAGTAAGTTATTTTGCTCTCACTGTTTAACAGAAAAAAGAACAACATAAAAAAAATTTTTTTTTTAAAACTACATATTTTCTTTTCTTTTTTAAAAATATATTTTATTGATTTTACATAGAGAGGAATTGAAAGGGATAGAAAGTTAGAAACGTCGATGAGAGAGAAACATCGACTAGCTGCCTCTTGCACATTCCCTACTGGGGGTGTGCCCACAACCAAGGTACATGCCCTTCACCGGAATCGAACCCGGGACCTTTCAGTCCGCAGGCCAACGCTCTATCCACTGAGCCAAACCGGTTTCGGCAACATAAAAATTCTTGCATATTTTGTTCAATTAGAGAATTTTAATGCTTTTCACTTATTATTGTAAAACTAAGAACAGTTTTATAGTTTTTTTTTTTTTTTTTTGTATATAGCTACTACATATAGGGCAATCTGTCTTTACGCAGCAATGAATTACTCTAAAAGAAATAAATCCTAGATACTTTTCCCTTCAAGTCAAGCAAGCATCTTCTTGCTTGAATAAACTTTTTATTAAAAAAAGAAAAAAGGTGTTATGGGCTGATTGAGCTAGTGTTAGTAGTCATTATCACCACTGTTTACTGACAGCAATTGGCACAAACTAAATGTATTTTGATATTTGGGAAAGAAAAGTGGTTTTGTTCCAGGTTAGCCAGTTGGCATTCTGAAAAACAGGAGCACAGGATACCTGAGGAGGCCTTGCTACCGCAGTGAGAAGGGACTGAAGAGCAGCTGGGAGGAACAGTGTCAGAGATGTTTTATCTTGGATGTTACTTTTATGTAATAGTAATCTTTAAAATTATAATGAAGTATCGTAGAATACCAAACTTGTTTCTTTTCACTATAGTGTACTTAACGCTTTTAATTTTGGTACAGAAGTCTAAGTTAAAGAATTTTGCTTAGAAAAATACAAGAAAAAATTGTAAACAGAATTCTGGAAGGAAGGAGACTTGTGACTCCTATATATATGTCCAGGTTCATTTACGGAATTCTGATGGAGAAATCTATAAAATAAAAAGTTGCTTATAATTATGACTCCTTTATAAATATTCATTTCCTACCACTTCAGAGTCTGTGTATTAGTATATAAAATTTTATAAGATTTAGTAAAAACTGTTTAATTTAAACATTGACATAATTAAACCCATGCTATACAATTGGCCCTTTAAAAAGTTTAGATATGTAATTAAAGTCTCCTCAAGGGTATTCTTCAAACACAGTTTTTCTTTGAAAATAGACTTAAAATTTCCAACTGTTCTCAATCTGCAGCTGAAATTTATTTGTTTTAATAGTTAAACAATGTGGGAAAGGAATGTAAACTCAAGATAAATCAGGTTGCTGACACTGAAAGTAAACTTCTTTCCCTTTTTCTGTTTTTCCTCATTAGCTCAGTTTTAAAAAGAAATCTTTGCTTTATTAGTACATTTTTCTCCATTTTCAGTTTTTGAAATATCAAACAAAAAACTGTGGTATTCTTGAGATGGAAGTAATATTAATTTAACATTTCATTTCAATGTTTATTTATCTGGCAAACTAGTGAACATGACCATATTTGATTCTTACCTTCTGTGGCATGAATCAAGGGTGTTTGTGGATTTACTCTAGTTTCCTCATTAGAATCTTTTTGAAAGCATTTTAATTTTGTTTAGAGTTTAGGTATACCTTAACAATTTAAATTTAGGGGGGGGGGGGAATGAGTCTTTAGAAATAAGATACCAATCTAATTTAGGTAATTATTACATACTAGCTTTAAAAATTAGTCATTAACTTAGAAGTATTTCGCTGTTTCCCTCACCAGTGTGGCTCAGTTGATTGAGCATTGTCTCCTGCACTGAAAGGTCACCAGTTTCTGGTCAGGGCATGTGCCCAGATTGTGGGTTCGATCCCATCAGGGTGGGCATGGGAGGCAACTGGTCAAAGTTTTATCCCCACTTAAAGTTTAGTAACTGAAGCTTAGAGATATAAAATAATTTTTCCATCACATAGCTTTAAAAGCTGCTCAAAGCCATCCATAATAATAAAAGCATAATACACTAATTAGACCAACTTTCCAGACGAAGCCACGACTGTGAGGGAAGCCCAGGTCCAGGGTGCCTGATGCCCACTGGAGGGAAGCCTGGATCCCGGGTGCCACAGGGAAAGCCGGTGCTGGCAGCCGGGGGGAAGGAAGGCTGCCAGCATTTTGTGCATTGGGCCTCTAGTTATACTATAATGCTTAAGCTGTTTCTGTTAATATTACTTATTCTGTCATCTTTTTTTTGTTTTGTTATTGTGTCCAGCATTGTCATTAAGTAAGCAATCTTTCACATTTTTTTTTATTTATTATGAAAATTATCAGAGTGCTTAAAATTTTCATTGTATAGTATGCTTTAACATCAGGCAGGTTTTGTTTTTCATTAAACTGATTAGATGCTCTGTCAGCATGGCTCAGTGGTTGAGCATGGACCTATGAATCAAGAGGTCACAGTTATATTCCCAGTTGGGGTACATTCTGGGTTGCAGGCTCAATTCTCAGTAGGGGTCATGCAGGATGCAGCTGATGGAAGGTTCTTTCTCATCATTGACGTTTCTCTCCATCTCCCTTCTTCTTTGAAATCAATAAAAAATATATATTTTAAAAACTGATTAGAACTTATAACAGAAGGTAGTGGCTCTATTATACCCGAATTTAGGAGAACACTATTTCAAGAAAGTTAAAATAGCATTAGTATGATTTTTCTAAACTGTTCAGTGTCAGAGGTGCCCAAGACCACCCCCAGGTTTGACAATTCACTAGAGGGATACAGAACTCTTGTTCTCATGACTAAGATTTATTACAGTGAAAAAATACAAAGCAAAACCAGCAATGGGAAAAGTTGTGGGATCAAGTCTGGAAGAAATAAGACTCAAGTTTCCAAAAGCCCTCTCCTAGTGAAGCCACACAGGATGTGCTTGATTCCTCAGCCATGAGTTTTAACAAAACGTGCAAAGTGTTGTCTACCAGAAGCTCATTAGGAACCAAGTACCTAAGACAAGGTTTTTAATGAGGCTCCTTATGTAAGCACGCTGTGCCTAATTCATACTGAAATTCCAGACTCTCAGAAGAAAAGCAGTATTCAGCATAAACAATATTGTATATATCGTTTGGGCACAGTGAGCAGCTCTTATCTTTCAGAGAAAGTTTTATAAGACTGGAGGGAACCGTTTACAAGCCAACTCCCAAATGCCAGTCAAAGGCCAACCTTGCAAGTGGGCCTTCCTGAGGGAAGGCAGCCTCGGGGCTCCTTAGTTAGGTGTTTTCCCAGATTCAAGAGGCATTGGGGAAATCAGCTATTCCTCTTCATTTGTAAGCATAGTGGACATGACTGAATTCGAAATCTATTTTCCTTGAAATAATATCAACCAAACCAAATAATGAAGCAGTATTTATTTTATTGAAGTCATAATAGAGTATCCTATCTTTGTCCATGGGTTGCTCCAGCTGTTGCTTTCAGATAGTGAAGAAATTGAGTTTCTGTGCATGCAATTATCTAAGTTACCAGGACCTCAATCTTTTATTGAAAAGTTAGGATGTATTCTTCTTCTTGTTATAACAATTGTTATTATTTCAATTGAGAAAATCTGTTGTTGTATTGTGTCATTCCAAACTGCATATTTTATCTGAGTTATGTAGATTTTTTTGGAAATGACATATAATCGTAAATAATAAATAACTGGGTGATAAAAGCCACATGATCCTCTAAATCAAGCACAGATAAGGCCTCCTGTTAAGCAAATAATTCTGAGAGCAGATAGTGGTGTGGTGGTCTTGCCTCTTGTTTGCCTGTGTAATGAACATAGCAGAGAGTAGATGTTCTATTAGACGGGAGATGTTCTCTGTTTAACACTGTGCGAACAGTGTGAAACACAATGTCTGGCAGAGCACAAGTGCTTAAATATTTATTGAATGAAAGAGTGACTGAGTCTGTGAGCAAAAGACTGGCTGCTGAGACGTCAGAGAACCTTGGTTCATAAAATACCAGAAGAATGTGGGAAACAGTAAAGAAACATCTGAGCTGTTTCATAGAGATTTTTCAGGGATTCTTTAATAATGGCTTATTTTATTCTAGACAATTGAGTGTTGAGATAGAGAGGAATAGGAAATCAAAGGATTGGCTGTGTAAGTTTTTTAATAGCCTAGTTTCTCATGGTAGACCTTTAGAAGAGGATTTCTAAAGTATTGGACAAATGCATTCTGACTCCTTTTCTGTGTGTGTGTGTGTGTGTGTGTGTGTGTGTGTGTGTGTGTGTGTGTGTAGAGAGTCAATCCCTGAGTCATGGTTTTAGAGTACTCTATTTTAAAATATCAATTAAGTGATGATTATTTTTGTTTTCCTTAGAGATTGAATAGGCTGAGGAAATCAAATGATCAGTGCTAGGTTGGCTTGCTACCACTTCACCAAACATGTTTTCTTATCTTCCTCCCAGCAGCACCCAGGAGCCTTCTCCACACTCGGCGCCGTCAGCAGCGTCCGCACAGAGTGTGCCTGAGAGGCCCGAGAGCCCAGCCTTCGCCAGACCAGGGGTGGCCGGGCTCACAACCGCTGCTGCCTTCAAGCCTCTGGGCTCCACCAGTGCCATCAAGTCTCCGAGCTGGCAGCGGCCAAGCCAAGCAGGTACGCCAAGGCAATCGCCAGCTTTTTGCTTTCCTTAAGTGTAATTATGGAAATGTGTTCTGGGATATATCAATATGATAGAGTCCATCGGTAAAACCGATTATCGACTATCTAAAAGGGCTGCAGAGAACAGCTATAGCTGTTTTCCTCTCTGACGTGTTTCATAAACGTTTTCTCTGTGCGTTTGGTGTTATTGCCATTTGCTGTGTATTACTACAGAATTGGGCAATTTCTTGTTTCCCAGTTACTCAGAAAGCATGTGTAGAATTGGGAATTTGGGGTCTTATTAACAAACTATATTGTTGGGAGGATTCCTTGTAAATAGAACATTTTAGTTTTGATGATATGTGAAACATAACAACAGAAGCATTGATTGCCATCAGACATTATTGAAGGAAGAAGCATTGTCTTCTTGTCCTCTGAAGATTCACAGGCAGAGTGGAAGGAGGACTCAGTACTAGAAAGGGAGCTTTTGAATGATGTTAGGATGGAGCAGCGTAGGGTCAGTCTGGAAACCTGAGCTTTGATTCTCTTCTATAGATAAGTAGCTTTACATAAAGTCACTCAACCCCTTTGATCCCGTTTCCTGATCTGCGGGATGTAGGCAGACTAAATGATCTGTTCCAACATGAACTAAGTTTATGACTGTCAGACTGAAGTAACTGTTTCAACAGGAAGATGGGACTGTACTTACTAGTGAAGGTTGCCAGATCCACACTTAGCTTTCATCTCTTTCCATTCTTTGCACTCTCCCTGGACGATTTTCCATCCAGATTTCTATTAGTCGCTGATGATTTATACAGTCCTCTCTCCCGGACTTTATTTCCTCAAACCACGTTGACCTACTTGCTGTTTCCAGGGAGCCCCACAAATGCAGCATGGCCGAAAATGTCACTGCCTATCTCTGAATAGTGCACCCATCCAGTCACCAAAGCTGGGATGTGAACTTGCCACCTCCCACTCCCTGTCCCTGTCCTCAAAGAAATTAACATCTAACGATTCCACTTCTTAGTATTTCTCCAACTTATTTTCTTCTCTCCACTCTGTTGGTTCAGGCCTTGTCCTTCAAACAACTTGAACTAATTTCCCTGCCTCCTCCTGTCTGTCTTCAGCCAGTGATCTCTCTGCAGCTCCAACTTACCTTACCCATCACTGTCCTGCTACAGGTGCTTTGCTTACTCTGCCATTTAAGATCCTGTTAACTCTGGCTCCGCTATCTCCTCAAGCTCCTCTCCTGCTGCTCCCAATTGGGTTTGATCTAAACTATATGAAAGAATACACAGTTTTATTACTTTTTAAAACTTAAAATATTTAGATTGACATCATCAGCCTCTGAAATTTCTAGACTATTAAATAACTTAGCCAGACCTTTTCCCTTGGCGAAAAATGCTGACAGCTCAGCCCATGCATTTTTAATTATTTCCATTTACTTAAAGTTTATCCATGACCATAGAGATTTGCTGTAAATATTTTGTATGTGCATTAAAATACAGAACATACCTCAAAGATTTATCTGGTATGGTAATTGGAAAGGGACAGAGAATACGTCCTAAAAGAGTAAGGACAAGACTAAGTTTCTGAGATAGAAACTGAAGGAGGGCACAAAGTATATGTACGGGGGAGGGCAGAAAACATGTAACCTGGAAATTCAGAAACTACGGTCAAAATAACACTTCACCTATTAAAGTGAAAAGGAAAAATTTCGCTTGATGCAGAACTCCTGGAGAATACACTATAGCAAAATTACCACAAGAGGGCGACAGAATCCTTTCTTCTCCGAAGAATCAAGGCAGGCTTTATAATTAGTCATGTTTCACATGGTCAGTATTTAAAATGTCACACATTTTTATGAACGTATAAGTGAATTTAATTTGAACAAAACTATAACAATATAAAACATAAAGCATCATCACATTGTAAAGCATTAATATTAGAAAAAGAAAATGTTTTGCCATTGTGAAGTCTGTTGAATTTCATCATGATGCTTACTCTACTCAAATCAGAAAGTATTTGCAGAACACCTGCAGCTCAGCCCATGCTGGTTATCTTGCTCTAGGTGCTTCATACTGACCGTTAATGAGTTATTATGTTATATGTAAACTAGAGGCCCGATGCATGAAATCCGTGCAAGGGGGCCAGACCTTGCAACTGAGGCAGCTAGCCTCGGCCCTCACAGCTGTGGCTTCATCTGGAAGGTTGTCTGGAAGGAGATTTGGAAGGTCGTTCAGCTGTCCAGTCTAATTAGCATATTACACTTTTATTAATATAGATATTATTTATTTTACACTATTTTGTACAAGTTGTGAAATAAGTAAAAAAATTCCCAGCTCCTCAAATTCTTTTATTCTGTCGAACAGTGTACTATATTTTAAAACAAAAGAAAAACACCTCAGAATCTGTGCTGAGTCTTATAAACAGTTTCAAGAGCTTCCTAATGCAAATGAGAAGTTCTTTGGATTTAGAGAGTGATAGGTGCCTCATGGGTTCTTGTGTTCCTCACAGTTCACCTGTGAGAACTGCACTCATCCAAAGGGGTACAAGAACTCCAGAGGCCGATTGTTGGGCTGGAGGACTAGGTAAGACATCAAGGCAGGTGGCCTGACTCCTCCCACAGGGAATTTTAGGCTCTTTCTCTTGATGATTCACAGCTGTGTACTGGTGTAAGTGAATAAAGGGAAAGTACATTTTTTTAATCCTCCACTCCCTCCATCACCAAAGAAAGACTGTTACTAGTGATGTCATTTAAAAACAATTCCTACAGAAGGATGGTATCAAAATCATGGAATTGCAGCCTCTGATCCACTTTGTTGATCCTGAAATTAGTTTAGTGGATCATACATAGTATTTTCATTAAAAAATGAAATAGAATAGAAAATATATTTTAATATATTAAGGGAGGTATCAAGATGTGAAAATGTGGTTTTAGCGTGTGTATGTAAGTAGATATATATATATATATACACACACACACATATATATATGTATATATATATTCATACAAGCATATTTTAGGTCAGCAGATAAAGTATATTTAACACTGTGTTTTATAGTTTAAAAGTTTGGGAGTCATTTATTTAAGTAGTATTTAGTCACACTTTGTTGGATGGTGATTAATGTAGTTGCGAAATGATAGCTTGAAAAAAAAAAAAAAAGACTGCATTCAAAGGGCTAATTGGAATTTGAAGACCTACTAGTATATTCTGAACCTGTCATGGGTTTCTGATACCTCCATTGAAGGTCTGACTTTAAATCTTCCATCATTTCACTTGTGGTGTTATATAGCCTGTGTACCAGAAGCCTTTTAGAACACAATATTGCTATATTAGTTGATATCTAGGAACCAGGTGTGTGTGTGTATACCAGTAACAGCATTATAGCTCAGATTGGACCTCCTTTTCCTCAGGCCTGTAGTTTAGTATATGCTACCACACATATACAACTTTGCAGGTGATAGATAAAAAGCTAAATATTTTGCTTGACTGGTGTGGCTCACTGGTTGAACGTTGACCCATGAACCAGGAAGTTATTCAATTCCTGTTCAGGGCACATGCCGGGTTGCAGTTGTGTGTTTGATCTCAGTAGAGGATCTGCAGGAGGCAGCCCATCAGTGATTCTCTCTAATCATTGATGTTCCTATCTCTCCCTCTTCCTTCCTCTCTCTCAAATCAATTTTTTTTTAAAAGTGGTAAATAGTATAGGATGCAAAATGTCCAAAAGTTCATAGTATGCATGAAAGAATTAAGATACAGAAGAATTTAGAATCCAAGGTTGAATTTTACAAAACTTTCCACTCACCTGTATCTTTGGTTAGACTTCCATAATTCAGAAGCAATAGTCCCTTTAGAAATTTGACTTGATCTAGAAAAATAGGTGAGATTTGTCTTGTCATTTTTCAGAATTGGAGATATATACTTTTAAAAATATATTTTAATTCACTATGTTTATATGTCTAATAGGTTTTGTAATATTTGAAAACTTCATATTATATATAATTATAAGTGGTTAGATAGATATTTTCAAAACCTTTGTAAATGTAGTGGTATAAGTTTAAAAATATGTTCTTGTATTTATGTAGATGACCTAATTTGCTATGTAATGTTTTTCCTAGATTCTGTTTAGGTTATGGATACCAGATTAGTTCATTCAATGCAAGTATATGTATAAAATATTACTGTCTTACCCAATCTAGTCAGGTGTTTTTCCTAAACCCAGTATTAAAACCATAAAGAGCCATTATATCTTGGAAGCACATCAGTTTTCCAAGTTTAGTTTAATTGTATACAAAATGAGGATGACTGAGTGCTTTTCCAGATCAGGCCTGTTGTCCATTGAGCCCAGTATGCTAGGTTCTGAAGAACAGGAATGTCCGCCCCCTGAAGTTAAATTTTAGAAGGCCAGGAATGATCCCAAGTGGAGCATTGTAAGCCTTTAATTTGTTTACCCGTTAAAATAAAGGTAACAGGGTCCCTTAGAGCTTTCTTGTGAAGCTCATGTGATAGAACCAAGTGCTTGATTCATAGACAATACTCAGAAAAGGTTAAGTTTTCACCCCTTTATTCTGTTTAGGAATAGCATCAATAATTTATGCTGTTACCACCCAACAAAACAGTTCTCAGGTGACTTCCTGCTTGAAAATGTTTGGGGTCGCTGCTGCCCGCACATTAAATGTTTGGCTCCTTAACAGGCTGTGCGGTCCTTCACGGCCTGTGCCAGCCTTCTCCAGCTTCATCAGGTATACCATTTCTTGGGCACACACCTCCGTGCTTTGCACCAGCGGCTCCTTTTATTTGACATGCTCCTGCATTTACACCCTTCTCCCTCTGGACACTTCTATTCACTCTTTATGACCAGATGCTATCTCCTTTGTGAACCTTTCTTGAGCATATAAATAGTTGCTAGTCCTTTCTGTTTGATGATGGCCTTATTACAGCATTCATCATGACGATTTTAATTGTTTACATATGTGTCTTTTACTGCTGTTTGTATATCTCCTACAGGAC